GATACAGCCTCCAGCTATAGTAGCATCCAGCTTTAGTAGGGAGTGGTGTTTAGTATGACAGGAAAAGGTACTTAAAAGAACATTATGCTACTAACCTGCGCCATCTGCATGGAATAAAGAGTTATATGGAAAAAGCTAAGCACATATATCTGTTTGGAAAACAAGGTAGTTTTTGCCCCTGCATAGTTCTGAATGCTCATTTGTTAAAATACTGCCTCTTGGGGGCAGGCTGTAACTGAACGCAACTATTCTGATGCAAGGCAGCATGGCTGAACCTCCTGCTGGTGTATATAATATCGCAATCACGGAGAACTGCACAGCATTACTAGTTGGGACACCAGACTGTAATTGGGAAGGGGTTGAATGGAGGAAACGGAGAATTTCCAGAATAAAAAGATGGCTTGTTCCTGGTGTTCATGTTACCATTAGCGCTGCATTAGCTAAATCCGCATGGGGAAATGAGCAAATAACCATTTTAACTGCTGTAGTGGGAAAAGAGGGCAAATGCTTGGCTGGTGTCAGATTAGGTTGGGGGGAAGATTTCCAACTACTTATAACGAGCTCTCTTCATGCTTCAGTCATAGAGTAAAATGAGAATATAACAATTGCTGATAGCAAGGCAGAACCACTATTTAGCAATACATCAGGAACATAGTACAACACTCTTATTGCTGGAGCCTCCTTGATTTCTCAGAACAGATTCTCTATTCAATGCCAATTGGACCCTCTTCCTGTCTCATCCGAGTTCACCATTTATGCATGCTTTAAAAACAATGACATCTGAAGAAAGCATGTAATTGGGTGCAGATTTGCAGCCAGCCAGTGCTAACATTTACTAAGGTTTGAGGCAGGAAGTAGTCATTCCTTTGGCCAAGGGCTGTGTTCCTTCAAGGATTCTCAAATAATAATGACATGGCATAAAGAATGACATGACAGATCTTTTATTTGACTGGACAAGCTTAGATGCAGCAGCCAAGGATGCTGGCCTCCCTCTAGCGATTCTGCAATTGCAAACAAAGAAGGATTTATGTGTACTTGTGCTAATCTTCTGGCCCTTAGTCTTACTCAGCATTCGTTTGAGAACTAATACATGTCTGACATGTTTGTGTACAGACCATCCATCTCTTCATCCCTACTCACAAGTGACTTAGTTATAGGCAGGTGTGTAGTGGCAACTTTGGAAGTACAGGTATTCATCATGGGTGTCCTCATAACCCACTCCCCCCCCAAAAAAAAGAGTTCCAAATCCAGGGAATTGCATTGTTCCATAGCAGATATTTTGCAAAGTTAATAGCTCTTAATTGCCCACTCAAGACCATACTACCCTCAAGTATTTCCACTACATGAATAGGATGTAACAATATACTGCCCCAGGAAATATCCATATATTTTCTAGCTACTGAGAAAACTGTAGCTAATTCAGAGAAATCAGGGAGGGTTGAGGGACTGGCAGGAGATGCCATAATCCCTGGTAAGTTTTACTCTCAAACTCAGAGGGGAAAATGTGGTTTCTTGTTCTCACAAAAAGATAGAGACAAGCAAAGATTTACATCTCTACTTCAACATAGGTTTTATTATCTTCCTTACCTAGAAAGCTATTGATATAGCATTAAGTTTATGCTTTCAGGGAAGGCAAACGAAGAAGGCCAGAGGTGTTGCTGATTATTTTCTACTCGATAGTAGATTCATTTCTGGATTTCAATGCCATTTAAATTTTGGTGCCTAAGGGCAAAGCTCTTTTTGCTCCACCCTAGTTGTGGCCCTAAGCATGGGGGGCTGCGTGAGTTTACAACTGAAAGACAGAAGACCTTGCCTCTGACAAAATGGGAGGCTTACACTTAAGCAGACGGAATAATTTGGGGAAGGGTAAAGGAAAATGAAGAAGTTGGCATTTAGTTACAGCCAAAAATGAGGCAGAGAATCCAGCCGCTGTATTTTCCCACAAGTATGCTACATACTTGCTCTGCTCTGTAATCTTTGTAAGACTGAGACACTCATTTTGGGGCATCCTTCCATAGTATCAAGGAAGTAAAGTGCAGATGTTTTTTTCCAGTATGTGTTTTTCGTGGAAATTCTGATGTACAAAAGCCCTTGTTTGGAAACGGTATGATAAATCTGTTAGTCATACTGAATCTAATTGCTTAATTTACTGATGCATGTCATCCATGTTCAGAATTTCTTGATCTGCTTGATCTAGGCCTTTTGTTTTTAAAATCTGAATAAAAATAAAATATAACTAGAAACCTGCAGACAAAGAACTTGCCTCTTTGTTGAAAACAATAGGAAATTCACTCTTTCCATTGCACCCGCTCTACACACAGCCCAGCCCAGCCTCTACTTTGTCCAACCACCCAACCCTGTCTTCCTGTCTCTTTCCCACAAATAGCACAATGTCCCAGTCCAACTTTCCAGATTTTCCACAGCTTTACACTACCATTTTTTCATATCTTGTTTTCTCAAGAAATTTTTTGGGTTCCTCTTGCCATTGGGGTGAAAGTTCTACAGCTAACTTGTTAGGTCAGCATCTTCTCTTGTATCTTAAATACATACGGTGAGCTTTCCCCTATCCCTCTGACTAGCTCCTTCTTGCCTCAATTCTTTACCTCCTCCACCCTTTCCTTCAACCCTCCCCTTCCAACAGCTTCCAGTTTTCTGGTCAGTTGTCTGCAGCCTTCCTTCCTCTTCCTTGTTCCTGGACACGCAGGTGACTCTTTACCCTCCATCTCTTTCCCATCTGCAGCTCGCTCCTGAGGGAGATTTCAATCCCAACACAACTTTCCCAGGTGACATTGAATTTAAATCCTGGCAAAACCTACAGGCACCAGAACCAAAAATGTTAAATGCTATCACTTTAGCTCCTCAGCCAGTCAGCACCAGAGGCTTCAAAATCATAAGAAGTGCTTTACACTCAGTACTGTACTTGCCATGGAAATGCAATGAAGAATAATTACCACAATCAGTATTCTGAGCCATGCAGTTCCAAGCCCCTTGATAAAACATGGATATATCTGTTGTGTTCATGACTGTTCTAATTAGATTTTTTGAAAAACCAAAGGATATCAATGGAGGAAAGAGGGACTAGTTTGCAATCCAGTAGACAAAGCATTTGCATGAACTGCAAAACGGTGAAAAGAGCACTTGGTAAAGTTACAGTTCCCAGCATCCCCCAGCCATGGCTTACAGCGTTCCTAAGGGAAGAATCTCAGAAACTATTAACCTGACCTGACATTCATTAGTGCTGTCTGCCTAACCCGCAGTTGCTGTGAAAGATGGTGGATACATATTTATTCCTATTGGGGCCTGTGCTTATAAACTACATGGCCTCAAAAACGACAGTAGTAAAAACCTGCCTGCCTGAAGCCATCTGGAAATATACTCCTAATGAACAAGATCTACATATGCTAGTGAAGCTAAGAAAGGAAGAATCATAAAGCACTGATGGTGTGAGATGTCGGGCCAGAGTGGACCAAATGTACAGTATTTTGCTGCCTGAAGTTGAGTAGCAAATGGAACCTCAGCCTAAGCCATGATACATCTGTACACAAAATCACTAAAGTTATTGTGAGGAGGAACAGCCCACAGGCATCTCCTACCACTACGCAGTCAAAAAAAATATAAATATAAATATAAATATCTAGCTATTTCCAGTCCCTTCATGAAACTCATAATCATCAGCTCCCTTATTCTATCTAACTGTAATATCAGCCTTGCATAAGGCCAATCTGTTAGCGTACCTTGACACAATCTAGATGTATAGTCTATCCCTATAAGCCCAAATCTACAGCACAGGTCGCTGCATGATGTTTGATTCAGAAGACAGAAGGGGAGTACATAAGTAAGGTATAAATGAAAGTGCAGAATCTTCTCCTTCCTCATGTCCTCAGGAGACATCCACTCAAATTGAGGGTTGGGAGAGTGAGAACAGACTAAAGAAAATATTTCTTCACCCAGCGTGTTGTTAGTCTGTGGAACTCTTTGCCACAAGTTGTGGTGATGGCATCTGGCCTTAAAAGGGGATTGGACAGATTTCTGGTTACAAAGCCATGATGGAAATGTATAATCTCCAGACTTAAAAGGAAGGTCCCTCAAAATGCCAGATGCATGGGAGTGGTATCACATATCTAGTTATCTTGTGTGCTCCCAGAGTCATCTAGGGGGGCCACTGTGAGATACAGGGAGCTGGGCTGTTGGCTTGATCCAGCAGGGCTCTTCTTTATGTTCTTATGTTCTCATCAGTTGCCTCCAAGTCCCTTAGATCCTTTACAAGTTTGTATCTGTCACAGTTTTTGGTGTTCCTCATCACAGTGCCACTTTCACTCTTTCAGTTGTTCGCTCCAATTTTTTCTCAGTTATCATACATGAAACTGGTGTCTAGTCTGGCCCAAAGAACCCATTGTAAATGGATCCATGTGGCAAATACAACTATTTGCTACACCCGGAGAGTGTTATTATGCTCATGTCCTGAGGTCAGACCCTGCACAGACAGTTAATTAGCCTCAATACAATGGGATGCTGGATTTGAGAGGCCTTTAGTCTACCAAGCAGGATTTCTGTTCCATTCTGATGTTCTTACACAGTTCTGATCATTCTCCATGCATGTTGGACCAACTTCCACTGAGAGTTTTTCAACTGTCCTCCACAGGTAGCCATTTTGCTCCACTGAGATTTGTACTATTGGTGTATACAAAGCAGTGTTAAGGCAATGATCCTAAGCACAGTTATTTTGAAATAAACTGCATTAAAATAAATGGAAATTACTTCCAAATGAAGTGGTTAGAATCAAGAAAGTTGCCTTTCAGATTTTGTCCAAGGAGGACAAGCAGTGTGATGTTTGTATTTATGTCTATTTATGGCAAGAATAAGAAGTACAAAAGGCTCGTTCAAGTCAGCTAAGCTGCACTATGTGTCTCTTCGGACTGTGATATTTGTATTTTGATGCCTGGATGACTCCTAATTCCCATCACAACTACAGCTACATTCTCTTTGGGTTTTTTCCATACCTGCTGTACGAAATCCCCCACATATATAGAGTTTCCCTTCCACAGCACCAGCACAGGTGGCGTTTGTTCTCAAAGAGAGAAGAGGAGAAGGCATAGGAGGTCCATCTCTCCAAAAATTCCTCTCAGGGTTATAGATCTCCACTGCATCAAGGCATTGTCGTGCTTGTCCTCTGTCTGGGCCCAGGCAGCCAATCCCACCTGCATGGGGAGACAGACAATAACAAGAAAAGCAGGAAATAAGCAGAAATGCATCAGTGCCAGCATTTCACCACAGCAAGCCTGCAAATCGGTCCAGCCCGCCTGCCTGCCTGCCTGTCTTCCTTCCTTCCTTGCATTTCTACCCAGCCAAAAAGGTCCCAATTGATGATTGCCATCTAAAATCGGTCCAGCCCGCCTGCCTGCCTGCCTGTCTTCCTTCCTTCCTTCCTTGCATTTGTACCCAGCCAAAAAGGTCCCAACTGATGATTGCCATCTAGCATGTAAGACACGACACAAAAGGAATAAGGGATGTGGAGGGATGAGGGCAATTAGGTTGTCTCTTTCTAACAACCAGATTTTCCTCCCCCCACCCTCCCGTGCCTTTCCCCAGCTGAGACCTAGGTAAGTAATGACACAGAACAACGTTGGGATGAGAACAAAGCAAACGCTTATGCAGTATCGACTTTGATTACTGCAAGCCAGTGTTGTAACAGAGGATCTAGTATGTAAGACAGTTATCAGAACTCCATAGAGTTCCCTATTCTGCACTTACAAGATACCACTCTAGCTGCCTAGAGTGGTCTTAACCGACCAGATAGGCGGGATATAAAATAAATAAATAAATAAATACATAAATAAAATAAAATAAAATAAATAATAAAATAAATAAAATAAGAATTTCTTTTAGGATGCAATAATGATCAATTTCCCAATAAATCCACCATTCTTTCTCCATTCACAGGATGACTTTTAGACATTGATTATGTACAAAAGGGTCTTTCTGATTCTTGACTTGCATTTATAACAACTTTACTAATGTCTGCTTATACACTACTATTATTAGAGCAAAATAGGGAACCTAAATATGTCTTATAAAAATGAAATTTGAAGATTTGGGGTTTGATATAATAAGACATAATTTTGGAATGTGCTGTTTTTAAATGCTTTTAATAAGTGAGTCCATGAGAAGCTGTGGAAATACATTTTTATGTATGTGTTTTTCATTGTTGGAAATCCTTGGCACTGGGATCTATCCTGATGAGCTGTCACGAGCAGTGTGTGCTCTGAGCTCAGGGACGCTTCAGACATGGAAAGAAACTGACTTGGATGGGTACATCTGTATTGCCAAAGGATGGCATAAACAATGCATGAAGAGCCAAGATTTCTGCCTTTTCTCAGAGCTAGGATAAAGGAGGAGTCATAGGCTGAAACTGGCTGGCTGGAGGGGGGGAAGAGAGAGGTGACGGTGGTGGCGTTTTGCCAGCCTGCCTGCCTGCTTTCCAGCCGCTGGTCCTAGGGTTTGTATACTAGCTCTTTGAGTTGATCTTTCCTTATCCATTCCCTCTCCCGACTCCCAGTACTGGAAGAAGATTTAGGCGAGTGAGCGAGTGGCAGGGGGTCCCTGCAGTCTGCTTGGCAGCTGGGCTTCTCCCTCACTCCCTGCTTTTAATACAACAGCAGCAAAGGCAAGTAGCTGCAAAACTCAGCCAGCCGGAAGGCTACTTAAAAATTAACGTGGACAGAGATGTTCACAAAGGGGGAATTGATTTCAGTGAATCAAATCCACATCCATGTTAAAGTAAAGAGATTTCTGGGGGAGGAGTATAAAAACGGTCACTCCAAAAAAACCACAATTACCAGTCAAATTAATACACGCTTAAACGTGCATCCTGTATTCACCCATTTTTACAGTGATTCAAAGCAAGCTAAACCCAATTTAAATGGTAGCGGGGAGAGAGAGGTTAGTAAAGTAGCTGCCATCTTAGGCAGGTATTGACCTTAGGTATCTTGGGTTGCACTTAGCTGCAGTCCTTCACTCCAGTCTAGGGCCTGGTCCTCTGGGTAGTCCCAGTTAGAGTAGGTCCATTGAACCAATGAGACTTGGTATACCATGCTCTTTTTGAAGTGCCATTGATTTAGCACTTCTGTTCTCACTGGACTGAATTTATATCAGGGTCTAATTCCAGACACTCTCTCACTGTTTGCTGCCCCAGTTTGTTGGCCCGTTATTTCTATTAGCTCATCACCACAAGCTGCTATTTAAGATTACTCAATTTTCCATTTGTTTCTGTTATAACAGCTTAACAGAGCTAATATTCTCTTCCTGCCTTCCTTTCTTATTTGCTCCATCAAAGCCCATGGTTTTTAATACTGGAATATCAATCAGAGTTCTGACTCACCTCAGCAGGCAGCTGATGAACACAACATGCTCTCCAAACAGCCTGACTCTGTGTGTGTGTGTGTTTGTGTGTGCATGCATGTTTGCATATGACGCCGTGTGTGTGTGTGCGTGCATGCATGCATGTTCGCATATGACACATTTTGATAATGATGATGAGGATAATAATAATCTTAGAACTGCAGGGCTGGAAAGGACTGTATGGATCATTGAGTCCAGCCCCTGTCAAAGAGTTATAGCAGGGAATTGAGCTCCCAACCTCTGGCTCTGCAGCCAGATACTTAAATCACTGTAACCCTGTAGTTGGGATGCCAAAGTAGCAATACACAAACCCAGGTTCATGTTCATGTCCAGACATGAAATTCATTGGGTGCCTTTGACCAGTTACTCTCCCCCAGCTTGGCCTACCTCATGGAGATGATGTGATGATTCCCATCAGCTAGAGATATCCTATCTAATGGTGAGGGGTTCATGGACATTACAGCTGAAAAATGCCTGCAGGATCACGGTTGCTAACCTCAGCATATACAGCTTTGAAGAGCCAGCTGTTTGAATCATCTCATCTTTTGTCCATAGTCTCAGAGTGGCAAGTACATGTAATTGCTCTCTGATTTCTGCTGCCCTTGCCTGACCATCTGGTAAATTAGTCAGATAGAGGAGAAAAGCTCCTTAACAACATCTTTCATACAACTGGCTTTAGCCATGAACACACATTTGTCCAGCTTAGCCCTTCATATCCTCCTTAGCTAGACATGGTCTTGCTAATTTCCCTTTACCTTAGTGTGGCTGGGGGGGGGAGAAGAGAAGGGGCAGCCCTCCCAGGAATGTTTCTTTGTTAAATGCCATGACTGAATGTGCTGCTTATATACTGCCCCAAAGCATTTAAAGCACGTTCTGGGCAGTTTATAATTTAATTATGCCGGCTACACTTCCCCCCCAATCCCTTTGAACTGGGTATCTAATTTACCAAGCTTGGAAGGATGGAAGGCTGAGTGAACCTTGAGCCAGCTAACTGGGATTGAAGCAGAGTTTGGGCTGCAGTACTGTAGTTTAAACACTACACCAGAAGGCATCTTTGTGTACTCAATTCCTAATATTTCCATAACACCCTGGAAACATGAGGTGCCATTCACCGTTCCAGTCTCATATAGTTCCATAGCAACTGTATGGCTTATGTGTCCATGCAATTCCCTTTTTACAGTCAGGTTAACTGAGAAGCAGTAACACTTCTTTGGCCACTCAAGCCAAGTTTACACTTTATGTTTATGTCTCAATCCAGATCTCTTTTGTAACTCTAATGTTCTCTCCAGACATTAGTGACTATAGCATTGACATTAACAATACTAATTTCTTCTCCCAAAGGAAACCGAGGAACCTTAGTTCCGTGAGGATTTCCAGAAATATCATTTTTAAAGGAAGAATCCTGACAGTTCCTTTGTTGTGGTTGCTGTTGCTGGAATAGACCCACTGAATCAATGAGAGTTACATAAGTGTTGAATTATTAAACTACCTTGATACAATGGGCCTGCAGCTTTCTTGTTTCTCCTCATGCTTTCTAATTGAAAATTGGATGCGATCTTGGCTATTTTGGCTTTGGATGCAGCAACTCTAAAGAAGGGTGTTGTGTGGTAACCGAACCAATCTCCAGGGCTCTTCAACGAGTAACTCTTCCTTCCTGCAGCTCTTTTCCCTTGAATGTTCACTGTAATAATCAGTAGTTTCTGCTTTCCGTTACATAACCAAAGGACATATTATATGCTTTATGGTTTCCCTCTAGTACTTCTTAGTTAGTCTTACTCTCAATCCAAAAAAATGATTAGCATTCTGTGCATCGAAATTTCAAATGCTTATATCTTTCTCATAGTCACTTGTGGTGAAGGCCATGATTCCGTGGCATACAGCAGCACTGAGAACACATACAACATTCATTCCCAAAGTCAAAGTTTTTCTTACATGTATTAAGCAATTATTGGATTTAGGCCACAGTGTTTACACTCACTTCAGTACTAGAAACCTCTATCTATGGACATACTAACAGATGACAAATGCGGAACTCCACGTACACAGTTGAAATCTTGTATACGAAACACAGACACTGACATGGAGTCTCAAAGGACAGGAAAATTTCTGTTATAAGACCCTATAGTTTTAAAAGGGAAAAGTGTCCTGCATGTAAATCTAGGGAATCACCTTCTGACATTCTTCCTTCTTTTATTTCATGCAGAATTTTTCGAAGATTCCCACACTGCAGAAGCCCACACTGGCATTTTATCAGTGCAGTTGACCTTATCTCAAAGATGTTTATGAGTTATGATAATTCTTATCAACATTCAGTAATTTTGAGGACGGTAGGAAAGGAAAGGAGAGGAGATGTCGTTGCATGGACAAGACTTTCAAAATCACAATATATTGGTATGTGGGAAATTTGGGGAAAGAGCCTAGACACTTTGATTCCCCACAGCTCTTTGAATGATGCTGTGCAGCTGCTCCCCACTTTAACTGATGTTCATGATAAGAAAAATGTGCAAACAATGACAGGAAAACCTGGAAGGCACTAATGTATGAAACTGCCTCCCCCATCATAGAAAGAGTGAGGAAAAAGAGTGAGGAAAAATTGCAATAAAGGTCTCCTCTAGACTCACTAAGAAATTACATGGATATAAACCAGTTTCAGGGCATTTTTGGATTTTCTTTGTGTGTGGGTTTTTTTTTAAGCTTAACAGTTTTCGACAAATAAATTGGAAGACTCCCTTTCAAATAGCTCAGAGGAAAAATATTGTTTGCTTTAAAAGTATGCTCCTATGTTTTTTATGACCCAGAT